GCAGCTTGGCAGGGAACTGGTTGTCCGGTCTGACTCCGGTCTTCTTCGACCCCACATGCACCAGGCTGCCGTGCCTTCGTGCAGTGACACTTCGTGGCGTGGTGTCTTGACCTGGGAAGCTTCTACGGATTCTACGGGTTACTTAGTACTTGGGATTCTGGGATTCTTGTGGTGGCAATACAAACATGCACATATATTGCATCATATTCATTTCTATGTATCTACACATATAATGATGTGTATGTATTATATATATACGTATATATAGTGTTATATACAACAATTTGAATGATCTAAATTAAGCCTGGCCGGATACCCCCAAATCACGATCCATCAACCATGGTGGACTGGCTGCTCGACTGGAGTGGCCCCGGCCTCCAGGTTTGGGCGGCAAGCAAATCTCTGCCTGGAATCAGTGGAGCCGACTGGTAGAAGTTCGTCAATGGCTTGTCAATGGGAGAAGGAAACTTCAGTGATAAGTGACAAGCAGTGACAAGCAGTGACAAGTGCAAAAACATCGCAAACTGAAACCTAACCTAAGTAACCTAAGAATGCCAACCGCTGCCAACTGCCAACCATGTTGATCAGGTTGTAGCTTGAGGGGTCATCCCAGCGGGCGCAATTGGAGGCTGGACCACCCTCAGAAAGCTAGCTACTGGCTTGAACCGACCCGCTGAAGCTGTCAATGCTGTCTACCCAACTATAGGTCATACCGTCATACCACAAGCAACCCCTCCTGGGAGAAGCAGCACAACACCTGGCGTTGAAACTCCAGTGATTTTGAGTCCACCCCAGAAGGGGACAGGACTGTGTGAGACTGTGTGGTGTATGTGACATGTGATACATCATACAAGTATCTCTCTACATCAAGTCCCCTTCACTTTTCGCCAGGCCCTCTGATTTTCACCAGCTTGGAAAGGGGAAATACCCAGAAAGTGTTTCACCTGCCGTTTAAAGCCCCAATGGTTCCACCACGAAGTTCTCCTCTCTTTATACCATCCATACAATCCATGTCAGCACCTGGAACATCCATCTGCGCATTTCGGAAGGGCAGCCTCCGGGCCTCAAATCGACAACTCCATGGAAGGTCAAAAGGACTTTCTCAACAATTTGCTCCAGAGCACAATAAAGAGGGGGAAGAGACCATCAAAATCTGTGGGAGAAATTACCATGTGATCTTCTTGGAGATTGCATACGGGGTCCAAAATTGCTGTACATTCCTTCCTTGTGTCTCCCATCAGTGATGGCCAAAGAACCAACCAGAATGTCAATTTCAGTCGAAGTTCTTTGCAGAAAAACCTCTTTGGGCGGATCAGATGCAGGACACCCAACCATCACAGACTTTGCTTGGGTGCTTCCCATCTGCATTGTCTGCCATGCCGAAATATAGGTGGGGGTCAAAGGGGGGTCAGAAGAAGATGAAATCCTGAGATTTTCACCTGCCCATATTTTGGGTCTGAAGGGTTTGACCAGAAACAGGCATGCCATGACATTGAGAGTTAGAATCAAGAATTGGTCCATTTTCCCGCATGCGAGTTGAAACTTGGAATGCCTTTCAGGGATTCCAAGATGCTGTTGTCAGTCCCAAATTTCATCTGTTTGGAAAGCGATCCCGTAGAGGTGCCAAGGCTGGAGCCAAAGAGGCAGTTGGCAGAAGAGTTCCTCCGTCAGGGTGAAGAATGTGGTCATTTGTTGACCGGGGCACCTAGATTCACGGGGGTACTGAAAGAAATGAAGCATCAGACATGAATGAAATAGTGGAATTGCATCCCCCTTTTTAGGCCAAAGTCCATTTGTAGTTTCGAAGAAATATAAAAAAAATGCAGGTCACTGGGAGGTTGGTAAAAAAATTATGGGAATGTTCTGAACCCAGCGTGTCCGAGCCCAGAAATTCTTAACAATGTTGGAAACCTCAAAAATCCGCGGGTTGATGTTCTGTCTGCGTAGCTGCAAACTCTTCCAGGTGCAGCCCTCACTCATCTGCGTGCACGCTCGATCATCGGCTGTTTGTAGTTTCATCTTCTTTGTTTAAACTAATTATATGAAGAGTGAAACACAGTAGGTGCCCTTGTTTTGGTTGGTTCAATTGCAAGCTATCCAATTTTTGTTTATCCAACTAGACCACTGCTGGGTCCTCGCTGACATCCACGTCAGGGTACCTGCGGCACACCAACAATAGTGGGCCGGAACCAGCCGTGGTGGTGTGATGATGATGATGATGATGATGATGATGATGATCGCGGAGGTGTTGATGATGATGGTGATGATGATGATGATGATGATGGTGTTGGTGATGAGGCTGATGAGGCTGATGAGGCTGATGAGGCTGATGAGAGGCTGATGAGGCTGATGAGGCTGATGAGGCTGATGAGGCTGATGAGGCTGATGATGCTGATGATGCTGATGATGCTGATGACGCTGATGACGATGATGATGATGATGATGGTGGTGATGATGATGATGATGATGATGATGGCGATGGTGATGGTGGTGCTGATGAGGCTGATGAGGCTGATGATGCTGATGAGGCTGATGAGGCTGATGAGGCTGATGAGGCTGATGAGGCTGATGAGGCTGATGAGGCTGATGATGGTGATGATGCTGATGATGCTGATGATGCTGATGATGCTGATGATGCTGATGATGATGACGATGATGATGATGATGATGGTGGTGATGATGATGATGATGATGATGCTGATGATGCTGATGATGCTGATGATGCTGATGATGCTGATGATGCTGATGATGCTGCTGATGCTGATGATGGTGATGGTGGTGATGATGATGGTGGTGGTGATGATGGTGATGGTGATGATGGATGATGATGGATGATAATGATGATGGTGATGATGATGATGATGGTGATGATGGTGATGATGGTGATGATGGTGATGATGGTGATGATGGTGATGATGGTGATGATGGTGATGATGGTGATGATGGTGATGATGGTGCTGGTGGTGGTGATGATGATAATGCTGATGATGCTGATGATGCTGAGGATGCTGAGGATGCTGATGATGTTGATGATGCTGATGTTGGTGATGATGGTGATGATGATGATGATGATCATGATGATGATGATGATGATGATGGTGATGGTGATGGTGATGGTGATGATGATGATGATGATCATGATCATGATCATGATGATGATGATGATGATGATGATGATGATGGTGATGGTGATGATGATGATGATGGTGGTGGTGGTGGTGATGATGGTGATGGTGATGATGGTGATGATGGTGATGATGGTGATGATGGTGATGATGGTGATGATGGTGATGATGGTGATGATGGTGATGATGGTGATGATGATGATGATGATGATGATGATGATGGTGATGATGGTGATGAGCATCCCCCTCCCTTTGCGGGGCACATGGCCAGCTCCTCTTCACTCAAGGAAGACTCCTGCCACAAGTGCCGAGGACTGTCAACGCCATTCCTGTCCCATCTGTCCCATGCAGACACTTCTTTATGTCGTCTTTCTTGCAATGCAAAATACCTGAAGATGAAGATTGGGGTATTAACTCGAAATCATCCGCCATTCTATCTTGCTGTTTCAACCGATTTTGACCCATACCTACAATCAAACAAACACTAGTTGTCCAATCCTTTTTTCAAATTATCCAATGGCAAATCTCTGGGAAACATATTTCTATATATAATATACCTTTCTCTCTATGTAATGTACATATGTACATTCTATCATGTATTTCTATGTGCATTTCCTGTCAAGGAGGTTCCAGTCCCTTTCCGGAGCCGCCTCAGAGTGAAGGAAACTACGCGTCGCCTCCAAGGCCTGGCCAGCGAGAAAACCACCCGAAGTTCGGATTCCGAAAAATGAATGTTTGATATCTGCTGTGCAAGAATGTGCAAGATATAGACCTGTATATAGATCTTGATATGGATATAGATACATAATGATACATATATATATATATTATGCATGTTATATATTGTTATATAACTACAAGTAGTGGCCAACAATCCCAGCTGTTGATCCATTGATCCACCCACCTCCATCGTAGGCCAGGTAAGGAAATTCTCATGGTGTGTCAGGGCCTGGGCCAGGTTTCTGTGAATGGAAGGACGAAGCAAAACAGGCATGTGGCATGCATCAAAACAAAATCTTCAAAGGAGTGATCTATGGGCGTTGCGCTTTCCTAGGCACGCAACATTTCCAGGAAATTCTACCCACGTAATATATGATATAATATATGCTGTTTAGCTGTGTAATGGTATTTATGCATTTAATTGTCTTAACAGCGATAAACAAGGTAATATGTACATTACATCTGTATTTTGTCTATATTTGTGTATATATCTAAAAATATGTGTGTATATATATATATAATGTACAGATATTGCTTAATAGTTCTGCCTTTCATTGTAGTTGATGGTTCCTTTCATGTCCTTTCATTTCCCTTCATTGTTCTGGTATATTGCGGAAGATTTCGGGAGATTACGGAAGACTACAGGAGATTGCGGGAGATTGTTATGGGGTCGGATTGCTTAACTGTTTAAATTTAACTTATATAAATGTTGTTGGTTTACATAACTGGGTATGCCGGAAAACTCTGCCAATCAATTTGTGCTTGAGCTAGGAGTAGGAAACCATCGGGGACAAGCTTGTAATCAGTTTCTGCCAATTCGTTCAAAAGCATAGTGATCCTGTCAGATTTAGTGCCAAAAATGTTTGAAACTTGGCAATCAATGCTCGTTCAGAACTGAAGCATCAACATCCAAAAAGAGAGGCCCCACCAGAACTGCCAGCAGTTTTCACACGTCGAGTCAGGCACGGCACATGGGGTTCTGTACATGCTGTCGCTTTCAGCTGTGTCGCTCTGCGAATTGGCCAGCACCACTTGAAGTGAGCAAAAGTTTGGCTGCCTTAAGTGCTTGATTGTCTGAGGATCCCATTCATGATGTTTGTGTAGCAGCATGGATGATGATCATGCCCAAATGATGGAGTGTACAATAATGTGATTGGATCCACGCCCACCTTGACACCACAAGGTGCTGCGGCCAACAGTGCAAACTTCAGCAACTACGTGCTATGCTCATTGTATTCGGTACACCTGCCACAAACAGCAAGATCTCAGCTTCTTCAACTTCACACTTGTAAACCTACATGTGTGCCATGGCGAAAGACGAAAAAATGTTTAGATGCTCATCACATCAGGATAATGCCTTGCAATGGGTACATCAAGTACATTCAACTACCATCATATCTTACGTATGCGTACGTATCGTTGTGCTGGAATGGCAGTGCCCGTCCACCTGCCGGCGCCATTGCTGGCGCTCAAGGAAGATTGTTAGCCGCTGCCTGAATTGGCATCATCTCGACACCCAGACAGAATCCTATGGTTGAAACATGTTGAAACCACCAACCGCATGCTTGCCCCAAATCATTGATGTTGACATTCTGAAAGGACTTCATCAATCGGCCAAACTGGTCGACACCCAAAAAAAACATAAAGTAATTATAATAGAATGCTGAAAATGATCGTTTCGATCAACTTTTGATTGCGTCGAATGTCTTTTTTGGAAGCCTCACCTGTGCCTCCCCCGGTTGCCACTGAGCTTCCGAACTTGCTGCTGAAACAGCCTCGTGGGCAGGGGCACCAAGAGCGCATACGGTTGACTTCACGCATCGCTGCCCCCGTGGCCACACGACAAACATATCCAACTCGAACCCAACCCTGGAAGGAAACATAATATTCAGGAAGGATCAGAAGTCTTCTTGGACATGATCCAAAACCCACCTCACCTCATAAAGTTCTTCAAGCCTCGCATCATGCCCTGCTACTTCTGCCGAGGGACATGGAAGGCAAGTGGGGTTCCCTTGTTCCCTGGAAGAGCCGCAGTAAAAGGACAAGCACCACCAGCAGGAAGAAGACCACTGCCTGTGGCAGCCGGGTGATGATGGGGGAAACCCGGAAATTTTGGCTCCCCATCCGATTTGGATAATTTGGGGGTGAAACTTTGGACCCATCCCCATGCACAAAATGTCTTGACAGCTTAACATTAACTGGCGGTGACACGTGCCTGAAAATGATACGGTCTTGCATTAGGTTTGATTGATACCAAAGTTGTACATTGCGCTTGAACCAGCCGTTAACAGTTTTCCCCACCATTGGTGGTCTTGTAGCTGGTAGTTTGCCTAGGCGTATGCTTGATACTGGGCCGTCCGACGCGCAGAAACATTGTACCACGCCTTAGACGTTTGAAAATTGGCGTCGGCAAAACCAGAGATCGCTGAAAGAACCCGAGGGGTCAGATTCTTGATATTTGAGACGCCGAAACTGAGCCGACTGAGCCCATCGATATTTGCCAAATTGATTGCTCAACTGCTCACTCAATGCTGGACTGTCAGTTTTTTCCAAGGTACCCAATTTGTACTCAATTTTGTCCGTGGAGATATGTCAAGGTGCTGGACTGAAAACCTGTAATTAGCCACTCACTGGCACCCATCTTTCAGCCATACCGTGCCAAAGACTCAGAAGCTGAGTTCAGCACAGCACGGGCTTGACAATCTTGTAGCAGGCCGCCATCCACTTGAATCTGGCACGGATCGGCCAAAGGCAAGGAACCACTATTCCATTCCCATTCTTGGTTGGTCAGATTGGTCAGATCTACAACCGTCTCCCTCCACCTGCCACACCTTCTGTCTCTTACTCCGAATCCCAACTGACCGCATTCCTTCACATTTCAGCCACCAGCAACTCTGCCAGTCGGACGAAGGGATGGACTTCCGTGGGCCTTGGGACATTGGGCACCTGGTCCCAAGGTTTTGGAAGCATGGAGATGTTGTGGAGCTGGGTAGATGCATCTGTTGGAAAACATGCCGAGTCCAGTGCTCAGCTAGAAGCTAGACATGCTGAAATAATTTGAAATATGCCTTTGAATTTGAAATCTTTATAAATATCATATATACAATATTATAATATTATATAGTATTATGTGTATATATTATATATATATATGTACATAATTATATAACTATATCTTATAGTCTTATATGATATGTTTTGTAAAATCAGTTCGAACATGTTGGCATGAGCCAGTTCTTAATGTATAAACCAAGGACGTGGCCGATGCAAACCACAGCCCATCATTTCTGGAGATCCACATCTGGCTAAGGCATGGGCTTCCACTGTCGCTCACTTTTGGCAAGTCCACTGGCAGGCGAGGCCTTGGGGGTTGACGTTGGACTATTGTCCAGTGAAAGAAAAATTATGACTCAAACTCAATCAGATTGGAATTTGACCAGCAATAGCTGGGATTCAGTGAAGAAACTTTGGGGGCGCAACCTTAAAACAGCCTGAAACAGCTGAAGCCTGGGTGGCAAAATGTGAGTTGCAGCTTCTGAGCACCAGGCATCGGTGGCTCTCCGGTTGGAGTGTGAACCGTCTGGTACCCGCGCCTCAGAGTACCAAGAAGAGCTTTGAAGTCCCTGGAAATGGGGAAATCATAGAGCAGTTATATAATGTTATATACAGTAAATCATAGTAAATCGAACATTCCAGGATTTTCTTGGCAGAAAACATGAAAAAGCTGAGTTTTGAATTCATGATCGCTCTTGGGATCCAATGTCATACCCGGTATACCTCGGCAGAGCACCTGGACCCCGTGGATCGTGACAAGGAACCTCACAATGCAGGGATGCGCAGCCTTATCCCAACAATGGAAATGGACCCAATTTTCAGAGACGCCGCAAGTTGAAAATGTGGGGATGATTTGGGATGTATATCGGTCATGTTCGTGCCCATTTATTCTCTTCTCAACTGTTGATGGGCAGTAAACTGTTGGGAATCCATGACTGTCTGATATTGCTGTTGGCAGATTATTTTGATATGTGTTGGAAGTGTTGCATCGGAGGTATCTTGAGAGGTTGGAATTCCATGGAATCCCGATGATCATGCGTTCCCTGGCTTCTTCCAAGTTGAACAATGCCTTACTGCAATTGTGACATCATAACCCAGCCACAACAATGCATAGTTGTGTGATTTTGTGTGTGTGTTGTGCAAAGGGGACGCATCAAAGGTTTGTTGGAGAAACTATCCAGGCATTCGGATGAGCCTTGGATGCATCGCTATTTCTGTTGATACCCCTCTTTCCTATCACGTCCAGGCGCACGGACCCCAGTCATCACTCAGCTTAGGAGGAACTGGCCGGTCCTGTTGCAGGAGGATTTGACTAAAGGATGTGTAAGGTAGGCTGTAACCAAGAGAAAGACATCTCCAGGATGGTCTGTCCAAGCTTCAATCTTGCGATTCCTGATCTGAAATGAGTGTCTTTGTAGTGAGGCGAGTCTTGAGGAAGCTTCTCCTATCAACACAGACTATCTCGATTGGGGATACTGGATACTGCATGTTTGCAAAAGTTAACCTGAAAATGGTCCAAGCAATGCACGCGTTCGAACTGTCCCCAAGGGAAAGTCGACCAGCATGAGCGTGCGTACTGAATGGCAAGTCAGTTTGCGCATGTAAAAAAAAACTAGTGATGTTGCCAATGCATCGCTTGAGTCGCAGTCATCATATCCATTGAGATTCATCCTGCAGAATCCTTTGATATTTTTATTGACAGCTGACTGTTTTTCAGTTTTTGACGTGTCTTATGACCTACCGGTATCAAGTTCTTTTGATACAAACTCAAATGGGTGGCGCTACGAGTGGCCGCCATCCAAGTCAAAATAACAGCCAATGCATCGCTTTTTTGGAAGTGGCTGTGGCTTCCATACTGAAATCACCAAGAAATCATTTCTGTGTCAAGAGATCCTCACCAGAAACGGCAGTCCTTCTCAAAGGTGAAGGCTTTAGGATCCAATGGCATCCCAGAGGGATCTACACCCATAAGCCTGGCCACCGGGGAGTGCAGCTGTTTTGAAGCATCAACCAATATCAACCAGGAGTAATCCGAGAAGTTGTGGCAGGCAAGAGCTTCTTGGATAATTCATCCTGGTTTACAGTTTGTGAAAATGTTCAAGATGCAGCTATGATGGGTGTCTCCTCTGAATGGGAGAGTATACAATGTGATTGCTTGCGACTTTTAGCATCTTGTAGCATCTTGTAGCATCTTGAAAAAAAAATACGTCCAATCTTCAAAAATCAGCAGCCAGCGGATGTGGTGGCGACTGCTCCTACAACTGGGTGAGTGCGAGCGAGAATGATTGGTGCCGCTGTCCAGAAGCCATGCCGGAGAAACTCCATCTGTCTGGCCACCATCTTAAATCGCGCCTCAGTCGTCCACCCTCTAAGACTCTAGGTCCAACACATGCAAAGCAGTGCGAAGAAAAGCTGTCGAGATACTCGAGATACTCGAGATAATCGAGATTCGTTCCGAAGATCCTGAAGCGAAAAATCAGGAAATTCCCTCGCCTCATCAAAAGTCAGCCCATCTTGCTGCATCAGTTGGCCGACTTCCGCCATCCCTGTGGCTGGTGAGTTGGTAGAGTGTTTGGATATCAATGGAGTGTCCATCTTCACATGGGGCAAGTGGTGAGTGCAAATCCATGGCTGCTGGATGGCTGGATGGAGTTCTTTTGCCATTACTCAGCACTCTGCAAGAGAAGAAATTCGTGGTTCGAACCAAGCTAGATGACGGTGAAATGTACACGAGAACCTATAGCTTCGTCCCACGATACACACAGGGCGTACAAGACGAATATGTTCGAAATATTCGAAGGGAATGGTATGGAAACTGTATGGAGTTGTGGAATGTTGTGGATGTAGCTCCATCAACTGGATTCACCAGCTTCAGGTTCTTTTCCACATCTGAAACTTCAGGAGCTCACGAAACCACAATTGCCACTACAAACCCGGACCTTTTTTTTTGCATTTACAAACTAAATTGGTTGCAACTTCAAAGTCTATTCATCGGACAGAATTGACATTTGAAGAAACCCAAAACTGAGAAGTCCAAGTCCCCGATTCCTCCCTGCCTGGGACCAGGCGTCTCTTCTCTGCGTCGGAAAGATTCTCATCCAGGTCCCAGTTGATACTGCGCCTGGCACCTTCTTCAGCCTGAGCATCATGGAATTCCACTCGTTCCACGCTGATTCCACTCACGATGTTTTTCAATAGGAGCCCATTTTTTGGACGGAGAATTGCCCACCCACATATTTTTTTTTTGTTCATACTGCAGGATATGGCAAGGGTATCTCCAGTTCCATCTTGACATCACAGCTGCACCTCAAAAAGGTCGTCCGCAAACTTTGCCATGGTGCGGCAACCCCAGCGGAAGGTGAATGAAAAATTCTGGAAAAATGACTGTTGATTAGTCTGACAATATGTGAGAATCCCTCCAGGAAAGGTTGACGTGCACGACTGATGTTAGGTGAAAGCGGCTCAAAAATGAAAAAACATGTGCAACCGGGAATGGATAGGAACGGGTGTCACCCCCCACTCCTTGTTGGTTCCACTCATTGGCCATCAATTTAAGGAGATGTTCTGGCCTGTCCTTTGAGCCACGTGCACTGCAAGGCCAGATTAACCCTACGAATCCTTTGGGGATCCCCCCATTGTGAACGCTGGAAAAATATGAAAAAATGAAGACCATGGAAAAAATGAACCGGTTTCCCTGTTATGTGTTGAACCGTCGGGGGTCATTTGCCAATCATAAGGAGAGCTCGAGCTAGAGCCCTATTATAGAACTCCCAACAGCAAGTTACTCCATCTAAGTTACACCTTGGGTGGCTGAAAGAGATACTCAAACTCCTTCTAACTTTTCAAGATTGTAGAGTAGAGGTGATAGCTGAAACACCGCTTTGTGACCCTGAAACACCGCTTTGTGACCCTCAAATATTATCAACAATGGTCAACAATTGGGATATCTATATATATATATATATCTGTATCATTCGATAAATTCTATCTATTGTCTGTGTATCTATGTTCTGATTTATCATTTCAGAGCGTGGCTACTACCTCTGCATCAAGTAAAAGGCGGTCAAAATGCAGCGGCCCTGGTCCCAATCAGCTACTGTACCACCACTTGTTGGCCTATTGCAACCCGAATTCTTTCGAAGATACAGCAGATTCACTCAAAAACCTCACAAAAAATCCGTGCAGTTGATCCTGATAAGAGGAATTTGCATCATCCAAGAGTGATAAGCCCTACTATCATAGTATCAGCCCTATTCCAATCGTGGTACAACATGGCACAACCTCAGTTAGATCCTTCACAAAGACATGTCCAACTGCCAAGTGGCGAGAAAGAACTCCGTCAGGTCAACTTGTGTGGCTCCCCAAGCCTGGGTACGTTAAACAACTCTGCACATCGCACCAAGATGTTCACTGACTTGCTGTTAACTTGCTGTCATTGTCATGTTTTCATAATTTGTGTCAACTGGATTTACTGGATGAGCTAATTCTTGCTGAGCCAAACTCCACCAATTTGGAGGGAGCGATGGTTGAGGTCATGGTCGGCAGCTTGAAAATAAGGAAATCCAATAAATTCCAATTCTATTGACCTTACAGGAAAAGTCAACCAGGCTTGTATGGATTTGATTTGACTCGATTATATTTCACTTGAGTATCTTGAGTCAGCCAATGGACTCTCAGAACAAGAAAATGAAGGCTGTGAGCTGAAGCAGTCCAAAGTCCGAATCTCTCAACCCGCTCTCTGAGCTATTGGCTGGTTCCACAAAGCTTCGACATAGCAAGTGGTACACCGCCTTGGGTTCGGTTTGAGTCAAGTGCACGACGCAAAGTGAAAACAAATGACATACCATGACATGGCCTGTGATATGGCAGTGAGACACTCGTTTCTTTTCTGCAACTCAACCGCCGCCCAAGACCAAGTGGCCTGTGCAGCTTGTAATCTGCCAAATCCTGTGGTGAAACAAAAAGATGTTGAAAATGGCAGAAATCCCACAGGCTCTGCTTCTACAGACAGTTGCGCGAGAGCTTTAGACTTTTCAGAGTCCACTGGAACGGTTGCACTGCCACGCTCCCTGTTTCAGATTCTATCGGAAGTCGGAACTGTCTGGAGCCAGGGACGCGCCTAAAACAAATGCCTTCAGGCTGAGCCACTGATCCCTTTCTGGAATCCACCGTCAGTATCCCACGTGGGATGGGCTAAGCAGATCAAGAGGGATATTTATCATATATATATATATATACATATTTATTTATTTATCTATTTATTTATTTATTGATTCATTCATTCATTCCTTCATTCATTTCATTATTTCAATTCATTTCATGTAATTTAATTTCATGTCATGTAATTTCATTTCATTTCATTCCATTTCATTTCATTCATATGTATGTAAATATGTAAATGTATATATATATACAGTATAGTATATATGTTTGATAAAAGGATATGGGTCAAGCTGCTGCTTACCCGAAAAAAAAAACGCATGGTCTTCTAAATACCAGTGTATCCCAACTTGTGCAAGATATCTCAAACAAAAAAACTAATCTTCTTGCTGCGTCCAATCACATGTTGCACCAAACGGACACATGTTGCACCAAACGGACTTCAAACCACCGTATTGCCCCTACTCCTTCCGCCCCCTTCGCCTCTAAAATACTGGGAAGCTCCACGCCCTATTCAAGCACCATCTCTTGTTTGTTCCATCCAAGACATTTTGTTTGACAATCCCGAAGCCTGAGGACAACATGTCTGAAACCAATTCGCTGCACTTATGACTCTACTCTTATATCAATTTCACCCTATCTGCTTTTCTACGTACCATGGTTGATAGGGTGTGACACCACCAGCTTTCCAGCTGCTCACAGGAAGACCTCAGCTAAGCTCTTGGTCTCAGTGCGACAAATGGGGCAACGTTCCAAGCGCTCAGCGCAATCTTTGCAGCAACAAACATGTCTGCAAGGCATCAAGAGGATCTGCCTGGCCATTGCGGCTTCAAGTCAGCATGGATCTTCCAAAGAGGCTTAAGAGAGGATTAAGAGTGGTATGCCTGAACAAGGATGGTTTGTTTCCGGGATTATGAAATTACCAGGGGATATAAACTGTGAACGGCTTGGGGGTTCCGATGGTTGGAAACACCCAGAGCATTCATCACATCTCCAAGAACTATGTGCAGATTATTCCAACCCTCCTACCAAAAAGACTGTCTCAGAGATTTCAGGGCAAAGGGGTTTTTGCATCTCTGACTGGAACCAAATTTCTGGCTGGTCTTTCCAAACAGTCCAATGCACCACTTGAACCCAAATCTGCATGAAACCCCACTGGTGCCTTGGAGCTTCCAGGCAAACCACGCAAGCCAATTCAGTCTCTGACTTGCTGGGGTTCAAGCCTCTGCCTCAGGGATTGACCAAAACTCTCACCTTGGGCCCCATCATTTCCATCCCAACCAAAACTGATATCTGAGCACTCGTATCCCCTGTCCGCAAAACACTGCCGCGAACCTGCTTAGGAGGTTGAAACATTGCAACAAACTGCTGCAACTGGTGATTTGAGTTGGTGATTTGGTACCCTGGCAAGACCCGACAATCATCGCCAAGGTGGGATCCCAGGATTCCGAATCAGTGGTAAACAAAATCTGCCAAAAAAAACTCGGCCCCACCTTTCTTGCCACCTCCCAAGGATCCGCGGAAGCTCCAAAGAAGAATGCCACTGATCGCCAAAGCAAAGGAACAAAGCAGCCTGGACCAACTTGGAACCGTGACGGTCTCCAAATCCAGATCTGTTTTACCTGCTTCATCGTCACTCTTCCAGGTGTCGGGTTCAGCTTGAACTTGCACGCGCCACCGCAACTCTTCGATTCTTGGAATCACTTGGAAGAGAGATCCCGTGGCCCGCGCCACGAATTCTGTGCCACCCACTTCTGGACCTAGCCACCACTCTGATTGGTGTGCCCGAAAATACAGAAAGACCCTGGACGTGGCCGGGGACCCATTCGTGCCGTGGCCGCCGCCGTGGCCACCGTGGCCGGTGTCGTTGCTTCCCAGGGTGGCGCCAAAGACCGGTCGGGCGTCGCAGAGCCGCTTCTCCTGGAGGAACTCCGTTCCGCTGATCGTGAGCTTTTCGGGAATGGCCATCCGAGCATCGCGGATGTGAACCTCCTCAGGGTGACAGGGCCAAACCTTGGGTTCACATGGGTTCACTACATCAGGGTGGATGCCCACAAACATTGATATAGATCATTTGGCAGTTCCTTCCAAGTGCACAATGGGATGTAAGCAGTCAACAGTTGGTGCGTGGGTCTAACATTATGGTCTAATTAATTGAATTGGGGGCCGCAATGACGCAACAATGGAATATGATGAATATGCTGACACGACGACTGGATATGGATATGCAGACAACCATCAGTTTGGGGTATGTCATTTTGATCGAGAGCCCCATTCATCCCCTTAAAGGATCATCTCCAATCAAAGCATCTATATACGTATACCGTATATCCGTATGGTGTCAAAACTCTGATTGGGATGCGCAACCCTGTTACTGTCCTGTGCTTGGCCATCAAAGGATCTCCAATTGGCATCACCTGCCACCAAAAAATGAATGACACAGCGAAAAAATGGGAAAAGGATGGAAAAGGTGTAAATTCATAAGGAAATTCGCAGGTGGTTGGGGTGCGAGCGCCGCAGAATCATAGACGAAGTCAAATCATGATACGCAGGCTGTTTTTCCAAGACGGAGCTCGCAGAGAAGTTATTTCACAGTCTCCACAATTGACAGCAAACTCTGGACGGTCGCAGCCTGACAAAACATCGCTGGTGGCATACGCCCAGACGGTCCCATCTTCGATGGACGGCCCGAAGCGCCAATCCCCCGCTGCGAACCACAGCGAGGCAGAGCGAACAGCGTCGGTCTTGTGATACACCGGCTGGTGGTTCCTGGGCGTCGAACCCAGCATGGAACTGAGCCTCTTCAAATTGGGCAAATTGGGATGATTTAATGATTGGCAATGATTGAGGTACTCTACCCTCTACCCGAGAAATCTGGTTTCTGGATGTTTCTGGATGAGAAGGAGCTGAACACAGAGAAAAATCCGTGGAACTGGAGTTTGAGAAAACACTGCAGACTTGGTAAAAGGGGAACACACTGCAGAGAGGACACTCTTGGAAGTTGGAACATTGCCTGGTTGCTTTCTAGAACATTACAAGAAAATAATTTGTAAGAACGAACTTTCCAGGCCGCTGTTCTTTTCCTTGAAACATACTACCTGAGTCCAAAAACTCAAACGACAATACAATCTAAGCCTGGGAACCTTGATGCCCAAATACAGAAGGCATACCTGGAGGCATTGTTGACATCTGCTCCATGAAGATTATATTATACCATATTATACCCATGCCCATTGCATCATATTGCATCTTTGTGTCATGTGCCAAGGTGCAAGGGCTCTGTGGCGAGTCTATACACGCCGTTGGCCGCTCCTTCACCAGCCACAACTCCTTCAATCACCAAATGTTGCGGATGCGTCTGCGGCGCCATCCACGGTGCAGGGGCACCATCCATGGGCCTCGTCCAATCAGCGTGGCCGAAATGGCTGGGCATGGTGCCATGCTGCATGGATGCTCCATGGAAAAAGCGCAAAGAGATGCAAAGATCAGAAAGTAAAAAATGAAAATCCTTGTCTGGACACTTTTGGATGTGGTTTGGGGGATTTCATGGAAGCTGCTGTTGAAAACGAGCCATGGAACACGCTACCACTGCAGTGCACCTCCTAGAATATGGTTGGAAAAAATATGCTCTAGTGACTCTAGTTGGACCCTAGGCTGAAAGACCCAACAAAGTTGCTTGATGTTGTTTGGGCAGGTTTCTTTGTACTCATCATACTTCATTGATCCACCATGGATATCCGCCCAGCCAACCCCAACATCCCCAACCCCTAACCTGGCCTGAGCCTCACTGATCCTGGGGGTAGTTGGCTCATGCCTCGTCCCAAAAACGTCCAGGGTTCTACGATTTCTTGTGGCAATGCTGCTGGACTTCGTGACAGCAGCACGGGAGCTCGCACTCCTGCAAGCGCTAGATAGCGCAAGCGCTACCGGAGCTTTCCCATGTTTTAGATGACTGTATTCAAAATGTCAAGGCCTTAAATGACGTGAAAATCCAGTGCCTGCGACGATTTTCCATTCTCTTGGCCAAACCTTCCAAACTTTGGTTTTGGCCCAGCGCACCCCAAACTATCCCAAACTATCCGAAGCTCCTGGACCTTGAGGTCCCAATGCTAACGGCAAGGGACCTAGGCGCCAACCCTCCGCAGAACACAACAAAAATAACTCCTCCGGGGCCGGCAGTGAAAATCTCTCGAACAGGGAGGACCTCAACAAATATGGGGATAGAATCATAGCCTACCAAAAGGATTACAAATGATGATACGACGAACGGAAACATGGGATGTCATGGAAACACGTGGAAACAGGGGTGGTGAAATGCCTACTTGTCAAAACTATGGGTTTGTGGCAACCCACAAACTGCCTGCCAGTTTTAAGGCCTGAAACCATCCAATTTGGGAGGTCCACATAAAATGTCGACCTGTAGCCAAGAATCTAATGACAACAGCACCCAACAATTGGGAAGGTTACTTGCTACATCTTGCTACCATCTATTCTGGTCCTGCTAACATGAAAAATCCTGTCCAGCGCTGCGTCATAAGCTTGTGAAGTGAATAGAATTTTTGGTGAGATGATGTGAGATGATGCGGGCGGTCCTGAAAGGCTGTGTGCTTGTAGTAGGGTCTTCCATCCCAGAGTCCGGGCTGTTGCATCAGCACACCTGCTACTTGGTGGAGTTCGCTGGGGCTCCCAGGTCCAAAAGATAGCTCCAGCACTTGTGGGACCAAGGATAGATCGCTCACCTCAAGTGCTCCAAAAATGTGCGAAGCAAGTGGAGCTGTCTTGGCCTAAACATACATACATATACAATCTATATAAGGTGAGAAGAATAGAAACTCGAAAAAACATGTAAGATGGATGCCTTGACACAGCACGTGAAAACTGTGCAATGTGTTTAAGTGTGTCCCGCTTTTGGTGCCAAAGCACCAGCCGAAGATAGCCAAAGCATCTTTTTCGGTAGGGAAACTAATCCCCGTTGAAGGTGTCGGATTAAACGAACAAAAACACCTACCTTTGCAGCAACCAGGCGGCTCTCAAATGTGGATCCTGGACAACTTGCTGACCTCAGCTGGAAAACAATAGGTGGCTGGTATTGGGATCAAGCCGTTTGACAGCCACAAGGATGGGATCATTGGGAAACTTCAAATTTCAAATAACAACTGGTTAGTGAATGAATCAGAATGAATCAGATGGGGTATCACCTGCTCGTGATGCGCCACATCCCAAGGGGTCCTGAATTCCCGGAAACTTGTTAGGGCAGAAACTTGGGGCCAGGGACCGCTGCCAGTTGGATGTGTGGTGAGCCTTGGGTCCCCTTGGGCAATTAACAGAACAAGGTGATTGACAAATGATATTCTCAGGTGATTATGTCACTTAAAGACCACCTGTCTGGAATAAACATTGGAAAATGCACGAAAATGCAGGCATTTGGGTTGAGTGCCTCAACTTGATGATGCATGCGCAGAAATCACACAATAGCCCGTCGATCTTCTTGAAAGTTGACAACCACTATGTTTTGCCGGGTATATCACTTTATATTACTTGACATTACTTTACATTACCTTACATTACTTTACATTACGTTATATCACTTTATATCCTGATTCGTTGCTAATGCCCAATCACACAAGACAGTGATGAACCTGAAGCTTCCCGCCAAGTGGCCATCCCAGACTTCCCAAGGCACATCAATCAAGAGGGGCGAGGGCGCCATGCTTCGAGCATACGCCCAAACACTTCCTGGGTGCCCAAAAAAACATGGCCTGCATGAATCATTGACTACCACGACCCTCAAAACATCTCAAAACCTCTACTTCAATATGTTCTATGTATATCTGTACAAACCTGTAGTCCAAAGGATGTTTTTTAAAGACGCTTCTTTTCTGACGTGTTCATATTTGTTCCAGTTCCTTCATTCCTTCAGTTCCTTCAAGTCCTTCAAGTCCTTCAGTTCCTTCAGTTCCTTCAGTTCCTTCGCCCAGCATCCGTGTTCAGGGGACCTTCCCAGCCGCCACTCGCCTTCAAAGTATAGGAAAATCGCTTGACCGCCGGCATAGTCGGGACGTCTGAAACATGGCTGACTGGTCGAGGTGGACCAGTCTCGTATGTACACGCCGTTGATGTTGCTGTTTCGACCCTGGCGGCCGTGAACCACCACCGAGGACGGCAGCGCATCAAAGGCATCATCACCTGACACAAGATAGACTGGATAGACTTCAGAGAATCTCAATCATGTGCTGCGGGTAGTGGTTTGAATTGTTGATGGTCGATTTTTAATGGAAAAAAGAAGGTGTTAAAGAAGAAAAGAAAGAATGTGGTGTGGGGGCTTCCAATTTTTGGATCTACCATCTTCACAAACCCACTCTCATCTTTGAAACACCCAGTTTGTGCTCTCAGGGCCCATTCTTTGAGCATCCGCATGAAGCATCATGAAACGCTCCCCACCTTTGACTAAAATCTGTAGCAAAAGTAGAGCTGCGGCGATCTTCCATGCCATCAGAAAAAGTGCCAGCTGGGGCCAGCTATCACCGCCTTCATTGCCATGGCCGCATCCTTCAGCTGACGACGCGCCACACGCCCAGCTGAGCCCGGTGCGGAGCAGAAATAGTATCCAAAGGTCCAAAACATCCAAAGGAATTCAAAACCTCTTGGAGCAATCAAATCATATCAAATCTAACTTACAAATAATTAGTCATAATTAGTCAGATAAATCAAGAAAGTCGTGACCAATTTGACGACTGGAACATTTTTTGGACCCGAGAAACCTTCAGATCATCGAGAGTTTCAGAAGCAACGCACCGGCGTTGCACCAGCTGCGGCCCGCACCAGTGGCCGCTGCACCCATGAGGGTGGAATCACCTGGTGCCAGGGCATCACCCCACTGTCATTGTGCCGTTTCCCGTGTCCGCGGGACCTGCTCGTTCTCAAAGCCCAAAGCACCGTGACGTCTTTCGAGAAGCGCCTCACAAAGGGATGCAAACGGTAGAAGATGACCCCAACGCTTCCAAATTTTGGTCGTAGGCAACCTGTAAGTACGTGCCTCTTGATGGTTGATGGAGTAATGCGTTGAAGGTTGACTTGGTGGATATGTCCGACACTGGGACCATGCCCCAATTTATGGCATCTGGTCACTGGGAGGTGGCCCGGCACCCGCCATCATCAAGCCACACCCTGCAGTTACACAAAGAAAAAGGGAGGCAACAGGACCTGTCGCCCTATGGCTGTGGCTTTCTTTAGCCATTCTGGTTGAAACGAAGGACTTGGAGGTTCACCTCCTCCCAGGTCCGCTTTCTTCGTTTCTTTGTTCTTTCTTCTTGCCTTTGTTCATTCTTCTTTCGCTTATTGCTTTCTTCTTGCCTTGTTGACTCTTGTTTCCTGATGTTTCTGTTTTGTTTCATGCATGATGCCGGAGATAGATGGTGAGAGGGTGACTGTTGTCATCCCTACTTGATCCTACTTGATTATTTCGAACGACGCGCTTTGTAGATTCTTTTCTGGACAGGCCCAGCAGCATCCTATGCTGACATGGTATGACATCTGCGACCTGGCACGGTCTCAAAAATCTATGCTGTACAACCAAAACTTGATCATACTTGATCTAAACATCTAAACGCAGATCCGTGTCCAATCACTTCTTTCCCAAACGGTTTCTTAGCAACAACATCATCCTCATCCTCAATCTCATCCAGCTGCTCCTCACCTTCATTAGTTGTTCTGCATCACAGGCTCCCATCTCCAGGTTGGAGGTAAGCCGGGTTAAGAGGCCCCACATCATCTCCTGCGGCACAGCCCCTTACTGTAACAAAACTTGATGTGATCAGGAATCAACTTGCATCAACTTGCGAAGCGGAAAAAAATGAACAAAACCGGAATCATGGAATCGGCTGTTTGAGTGGAATCAGGGTCAGATTTTGATGGCCATTCCATTTTTCCATTCTGAGTTAACACTGGGTCCTGCCTACTGTCACTTTACAAAGGCCGTTTAAGTCCCTGAAGAGAGAGGTCCTTTTCCTACAGCAACGAGAGAGGGGGAGAGAGAGAGTTAGAGAGAGAAATACGTAATGTTCTGGATGCTTTTGGAAACTGCACCCGATGTGTACGTCGTATACTGGTCATGGCAAGGTGAGATCTGCAAGATAAGGTGGAGAAGTGCAAAGTCGGCTGAAATCTATTTACTTCACATTGAGTTACGTTGCTTCAACGCTTTTCTTATGATCCAAACCTCCAAATTTAACTAAATTACCGATACCAAAAAACAGCTGTAAGCAAAATCTGAGGCTCGGAGGGTTTCGGAGGAAGAGATGAAACAGTGCCCCACATTCTGCAAACTCACCACTACCTCAGCTGCTCCCTCATGGACAAATCAGGCCGTCCTGAGACCACTTCTCCGGCGCCTCAAATGGAGTCTGTGATGGATTGAAAACTGTAAAAAAACGATGCTCACTCAACTATATGTGCTTTGTAAAAAATATCCTGACATTTCAACAGGGGAGACGCATGGAGATTCCATGTCTCAGGTAGCGCCAGAAATCAAGTTTGGGGTGCCTAGGTTTGACCTTAGAACAAAGCGATGGAGAAAGAATGAGTTCCCCTGCCGGCACACGGAAGGACGACCGCGTCTTTCCCAAGCCTAGCACCACGAAGGATTCCAGGGCCGCAGAAGCAACGGATGGTTTCCCAATGGCAGAGTCCAAAAGTTCCAACAGGGTGATAGTGCAGTGGATAGTGGATGTAATAGATTGTAATAGGATGTAATAGGATGTAATATGATGTAATAGGATGTAATTTTGAATCCTAGTCTTATGTTCTCCTCAGTAGTTTATTCTAATGATGTTGAAACTTGAAAAAAATGAAAACAAAACAAAACTTCAAACTGAAAAAAACCGGAAGCAAAATAAATGGGTGAAAAAAAGGAACGTCAAAAAGGTGGAAAAAAATGGGAAAAAATGGACTTGTCCATTTGCATTTTTTTGCACTTATTTTGCTTTTTCGATTTGTTTTTTTTGTGTTATTTTGCTTGTTTTTTTGCTTTTTTCCAAAAATAAATGCAAAAAAAAGCAAATCGAAAAAGCAAAATAAATGAAAAAAAATGCAAATGGACAAGTACATTGTTTCCCCATGTTTTCCCCTTTGTTTCCCCTTTTTCCCCCTTTTTGACTTTCCTTTTTTCCTCTTTTCTTCCCCTTTTATTTTGCTTTTGTGTTTTTTCGGATTTTGCTGATTTGCTTTTTGCTTTTTCCATTTTTTTGGCATTTGTCTCGGTTTTTTCAAGTTTGTCGATTCTTAGAATAAGCTATAGTTTGGTGAACATAATACTAGTCCTACCCAGCTGCAGCACCCCAGCCTTGCGAAACCGTGGAGGGTGACCGAACCATGCTGCCAGTGTCTGTACTGGGTAGCACCTCAGTAGCATTCAAGAATGAAGACATATGACACATATCAAGACACAGACAGACCCATATGTATCGCATTGTTTCATAGTTTCATATATAGTTTTCGTTTTTTGTCATTTGGAAAGTGCAGAAACCGATGACTAGGGCCCTAGGGGTCGATCCCCAAGGGTTCAAAGCCAGCAGCATTTTCAAGTTGGACAGAGAACAAAGTCATCTCCAAGGCATCGAACCGTCGAAACAGACATGGTGAAATTTCAGCTTAAGCGTTGAGTTGCTTAAGCCCTTGTTTAAGTGTTTTATTGGTTTCAAATCTTTGAAGCCTGTATTGAATTGTCTTGAAGGAAATATTGTGGATCGGATACAAATCCCACAAGTAGATTCCCCATTCTTCCCCCATCCTATCATGACCAGCCTCCAATTTGGGCGGCACGTAGACATTCACGTCCAGCGTCTTCGGAACAATGACCTGCCCACTTGCAAAGTCCAACTACAAAGAAAATCGTGTTGCGCAAAGTTGGTTATAACCGTGGAGAGAGGAAAAAAACTGATGTTGCCCTATCGTTTCAAACAAGGTTTTGGTGAGGCGAAACTGGGGAGCATGTCTAGTTGTTCAATTTTGTTACTTTTGTTGTTGCTTGTGTTCTCAGGTTAAGGTTATGTTTTTGCTGTAACCCAGTTTTGCATGTTGACCAGCTGAAGACCAGGAACCCAGGAACCCCAGCAAGGAGGCCTTGAAAGATGAATTTCCAAATCACCAATGGTCTTATGCCAACAACCTCTCAATTCCCGAATCCCTTGGTTCCATCAGCCACATCCAGCGGATCAAATTTGTTGCCACTATCCGTCACTGTCCATTGGGTCCATGTCCACCCACACCGGCCCCGCACCTTGAGCACATCACGCCGTCGCTTGCCCGCAGCGCTCGAGGGAGCCGGCTGAGCACGGCGTCTTGGGCATATGGTGTGAACAGTGTGAATCAATATAGAACTGGGAAAGGACAGAATCACAAATTGGATGATGAAGCCGAAGCTGATGTTTATGGCTATGGAAACCAGTAATGTTGTTTGTCTCAGTCATTCCACTACAAATACTATAGGGGGCCCGCTGGCCCAAACATGCTGCCAATAAAATGTGGAGCGGTCCATCAAGTTTGACGAATTTGTCGGAATCTCTGTAAATGCAGGGTGTCACAGTTTGTCGGCACAAGAAATGCCTCTTTCAACCAGGAAATTCCATGAGTTGAGGTGTCATGTTCGACATCTACCTGTGTTGGCAGTTCAGTGCCCATGATCTTGTGGAACGGCCGATTTGGACACATCAATGCTGAAGATTTCCACTGCCACGATCAAACAATGGCCAGCTCTGCCCAGGACCCACACCTTGACGTTTCCTGTGTGTGATCTCCGCACTGTCATGGTTCTGCTGATGGTCTGATGACCCTCCTGACTGTGCTGAAAATGTCAAGAAATAAAAAGAAGCAATAAATTTCAATCCATTTGATATCTAAAAAATGTGTAAGTATGATTAAGTATGCATATAATAAAATGAAGCATCAATTCAAAGGTTTTAAGTTTTAAGCCAATGCTGGGACTTCACCACAGTCAGTAATACCTGGATAGACACAGGGAGCGCTTTCATCCAAGACAAACGATGTGACTTCAGCCATTTGGTTCTTGAAGTCTTGGAGTTTCGAAGCTGATAAGTTTGAGCCCTGGCTTGCTTTGTTCAAAGCCACCCCCTGGCAAGCTAGACTGGCATGTCCCTTTCCGGCAAACAAATGGGTAACCTGGTAACCGGATAACCTGACGTCACTTGTCCATCCCGCACGCCTCATCCTCCCATTTACCAGTGCGCAGCTGTCGTTCTGTCTCCTCTGAGGCCGTTGGGATCCCAGACCCGACAAAACAGAAAGTTGGTGGAAGCAAAGCAAACCGTGACACCGAGAAAGGACAGTACTCGGTACGTGGGGATTTTGCTGGTGTCAATTTGATAGTACAGGACTAGGGAATCAACAATATTAGCAGACATGCGCCAAAGTGATGCGTCTGAATCCTTTATTTAGACCTTTGCGAATCATCATGCTCCTTGGCAGGTTGGCTGTTAAAGCCCAATTGCAAGATAATATGAATTCTGGGAGTGATGGTTTGTCTCGTCCAAACAAAGACAAAAGTCATCCCTTACATTTTATTTTCTTCATCTATTCCCCTCCCTGCACGTATGATGAGGTCAAAGCCTTAGTGGTAGTATTACTTAATGTAAATGCACACAGATCCCGTATTACGGGGTATGACTGTCCCCAGGGTGTATCCATGGCCCAAGCAACGGCCGTGCTATCGACAATGGCAAACATGGCCAGCCAACGAACATGTCCTTGATGGCTTCATTCTCTTCCCGCACACGATCTTTGATCCAATCGTCCATGCGGGCGAAAATCTGCACAGGAATTGCAGCGTTTAAAAGTTTTTAGGTTCTGCTCCTGATCTGTTTTAAGGGGCTCGAAGTTCCGCATAGCTGGTCCACTTTGGACATTGGAAGACGATCCAATCATGACGTGCTGAGTCACGATATGCCACTATGAACCACATGCAGTGAGTCCGAAAACTTGCCCTGGCCTCGTTGTATTGTTCCCGCATCTGTTCGAGTCTGGCGAAAGTCCAGGCCTCGTGCCGCCCGCACGGCATGGTGAGTGCCCACAATAAGGATCCCAAATGGATCAATCGGATCCATAAGGCAAAGTCTTATACCTACTGTAAAAATATGTAAAAGATCTCGCAAGCAAACGGAAAATCCCTGATCACCGTGCCAAGAAATGGCATTGTACACCGCTTTCAACTTCTAAGTGGGTGAGGTGACAGGCCTCAGAACAGGGATTAGTCTTGTAATGTCTTGTGGTTGCAGTGTGGCTCCATTGTGGTTCCATTTTGCCCATTTTGCCCAGAGATTTCTGCTCGCTCAGCAAGGCGTTCCAGGTGCCCCGACTGCAATGCATTGGCATTGGCGTGCCAGCGTTCGACGTTCAGCTGGCAGCCAGCGGCACCGGTCACGTCAGGACTCACCGGGTGATCAAAAGATGTCCAAGTATTAATGATACCAAGTAGTGACTTACAGTATCATATTGGATTTTTGGATGGATATACACCTGTGAGAGGATTTCTGAACATCGAACATAACCATACAATCTGGATGTCGTCCCGCTTGGCTAACTAGAACTTCAACCGACACTTTCCATTGCAAATTGTCTTCTCTGTCTCAGATTTTGACATGCATTTTTCTGCATCGATGCAACTGGCAGCCCAGAACATCCATATCACATGGTTTGGTTGGTCGCAAAATAATGAATACGTCACCCAATTTGCAAATCGAAGGCTTACAGTTTCATTGTCTTATCAAACAAAACGGCCATATGTTGTATCCTGCGTTTCCCAAAAAAAAACACGTCTCTGCTTGGCCAGAGATTGTCAGCACCATTCAGCACCTTGGATGGCAGCCACCAACTCGGCGTTTTCACCTTGCCCTGCGTTGTCCACGGACACCGAGGCCTGCAACAGAGCAACACCAGATGAGCCTAAAGGCCGAAACAATAGTCCAACCAAAAATGACATGTTTCATGCAGAAATCCTTTGAGGGACTCTGCATTGAAAATCCGAGCCATTCCAAACATGGTGGAAAATCATGATTCATGTCCCATTCAAACATCGAACTGGCAACTTTCCGGGATCATCTCCAATCATCTGTTAAGGTATGATGCTGAAAATCACCAAAATTCCACATTTGCCAATTCTTGTGGTTGGGTTTTGGCCACCATTAAGTTTCGGGTTCAGCCGGCCATCGCCTCAAGCATGGAGCTGTCCTGCAAAAACAGAGGTCCAGTTGTTCTATGGTGCGGATCCCCAGTGTGCCATTGGCTGAAACCTTTCACACACAAAATCTCAGAAACGAAGCAGGCTACAAATGGATGACAACTGCTTCTGATGTGAAAGTTCCTTGGTCCAGGCCCTAAATGTAAGTACGTATTACAATAATGTGTTGGAATGTCTCGGGTGGGTTCCCGCGTGTCCCACTGACCCAATTCTTTCAGACGCTTGTACTTCCACGGCAAATCCATGAGTTCTGTCACCTGTTGAATCTTCTCGGCCCAAACACTTCACCCAGTTGTGACATGCCCCAGTCTTGGTGTTTACATCATGTATATTGTATATGTATATCAAATATAGATAGATAGACATATATATATATACATAATATACATGTATATAGTGTGTATATATATATACACATACATATGTATATGTATATGTATATGTATATGTATATGTATATGTGTATGTATATGTATATGTATATGTATATGTACATATACATTTATTTGTGTACATATGCATAAATATATATATATATATGTATAAATATATATACATAAATACATACATACATACATACATACATACATACATACATACACACAGACATACATACATACATACATACATACATACATACATACATTACATACATACATTACATTACATTACATTGCATTACATTACATTACATTACATTCATACATACATACATACATACATACATTGCATACATACATACATTGCATGCATGCATGCATGCATGCATGCATGCATGCATACATACATACATACATACATACATTACATACATACATATATACATACATACATACATAACATAACATTACATTACATTACATTACATTATATACATACATATATATAATTTTACATATGTTAACCCAAAAAACTAGTTTTTGCTACCTTGTAACCAGTAATTTGCAGTTGAAACATGATGCCTTCTGAAAACCTGTGTCTGTCCAGCAAATATGGTACATACAACTCCACAGGTATATCATGTGATTACTTCGCAGTATGTGTATGTATCTTGGCAAGTTTCAGCATGAACAAGTTGCAGTTGCAGAAAAAGATTTTCAAGTTTCAGATATGATGGTTGAACATTTTTTGCTTGCGTAAAAAGAGGTCAAACGAAACAGTTTGCCTGCACAATACGAGGATGCTTGCCTGCACAGTAAGAGGATGGCGCGCGATGCTTGAGCAGAGGAAATACGGTAGCTTGCATGGTGCTGGAGCCAACACGACAGTTCTGGTTGATCTGGGCCCGATCTTTCAAGAATCCCCAGGCTCTGTCAATCACCTCGGTGCCGGCCTTGCAACGGATAGATCGCTTTTCCCCTGCAACTTTGTGGGTGACAACCTTGACATAGTTCGGCTTCTGTCAGCGCCACTTCCCACTGACTTTCACTTGCTTCTTGCAATGCGTCACATTGTCGTGAAGAGCCCCTGGGACATGGCTCTTGTAGCTTTTTGGAGGAAGAGCTTCTTGTTCATCAACCATTTTTTTTCCAAGGCACCCACTCAACCTTTCAAATGGCACCTGGACCGGATCACGAGCTTCCGGCATGTTGGACTTCAATCTTTGGAGGACCAATGTCTCAGGGTGCCCTCCTCCTGACCAGACCGCTCCATTGCTCCCAAACAGCTTTGTCAACGGCCACATTGCCAAGGTTCTTGCGATCAAATGTTCTCCCCTCTGCTTCGGCAGACCAGGCAGCTTTAGAAGCAAAGTCCATCTCCTTCTTCTCCTCGACATACTTCTTATGGACAGTGCACAGACGGCTTCCCATGGATTCGATCGACTTGTGGTTTACTCCACGAAGACACGAAGACGATGAATGGTCGCATGGGGCACATTGTTCAGCTTCAGCATGAGCAGGGTTGCCTGCGTGCGCAATGATGCAGCGCCAGTACCACGGGCGTCTACAAAAAGCGGATGGGGATGCTGAGGGTTGATGTATACTTGGCAAGTCTTGCGGTTGCATCGATGCCGGGGCTTCTCACCCCCTTGAAGGCTTGAGAGTGTCCCCGTCCCATATCGTGGACAGACCTTGCCGCGGACAGAAGTCCATCCTCCAGAGGCATCAAGGATGTCTGTCAGAGATCTCTTCCACATCTTGCGGTCTAGCTTCAAGCTTCAAGCCGGACTTTGAAGGCAACTTCGAGGAATGCCGGGTATAGGGAACTTGCTTCCATGCCTTAGTCTTCTCTGCAGGCGGGCGCTTCAGGACAGAGTGACCTTCGCCACGTTAAGCTTGCCCTTGCCACCCTTCATTGCCATGATTCACTCTGGCTACCATTGCGCCACTGATCGGATGGATGCTCGAAACACTATTACTATCTCAAATCAAACAGCTGCAAGCACACAGGACCACATTCAAATTGCTTGTGTCCCTGTCAGTATGGAAGAAAGCAACTCACTAGAAAGACACGTAGCATGAAGAACTGCACAGCTTGCCCGTGAAGTTGAATGCAAGACCACAAAGAATGTTATTATGAAAGCACTCCGCTGGGTAACCAAAGATTGGCGCGCCAGCGAGGGCGACCCAACTGACAACGACGCACCAGGGAGCCCAACTGGAACGCCACACAGCAAACAATGGAGTTTATTGATCAACCATCAGATATCGCACAGAGCATGATCCCTCACAGTGGCACAAGGCAGCAACACAGTACTGAAGAAGCAACGTATTTTGACTGACATAGTGGTTTGGCTGAGGTGGGACTACCAAACTCCCTCAGCAAGCGACCAATGCATCCTTTCCAGATGGTGTCAATACGGGAAGATCACGCATCTACTCAAAGCATGGTCCATGGTAGAAGACCTGGAAGTGTCGGCTCAATCATCTCCTGCGCTGGCTTCCATCCCAGTACCCATCTCTTCCATCTGCTCTTCTGAGGCCTCCTCAAGGGTCTGCTCATCATCACAATGCCACGTCTGCAGCAAGGACAGATTCTGTTTCTTCAGCAAGTTCTCCTTGGGAACAAGCGACAGTATCGCCGAGATTGGGTGTTTTCCTGAGTGGCTCCTCGGTTTCCTCCTTCGCATTCACATCTCCAAAGGGTCGCTTGGCTCTATAAGAGCTCCCACTGCACTTCATTTGGCACAGCAGCGCCACCTTTCCTGTAGAAGTCATACTTCAGACGAGATTCCTCCACCAAGAAATCGGCTTTGTCACTAAGAAGAATCCTGATAACAGGCTGCTTGTTGTCATTTGCTGGTCGAACGTAGAGATTTTTGTTGGTGTTCACCACAAGATGTGTTCTTTTCCGAACAGCCGTGATGGTTCTCCTTGACATACGATGCCACCTCAAGCATCTTCATGAAGACATCATGCGTCACATATGATGGGTGGCCAGCGTGTTTGGCCAACACTGGGACATCATCTGCAGGTTCCCGACCAGCATCGAAGTCATTAGCGCAATAGATGCGAAGCTTCCCTTTCATCCATTTGGCTGCTCCCCATCTTTCCTTTGACATGGATTCCACATTCCCCAAATCAGTACATGCATTCAATACCAGAAAAGTTGTAAAAAGGTAGCTTTTGGGGTACCATATTTATATATATATTTTATCTATTTATTTATTTATTTATCTATCTACGTATTCTATACTACATATTATATATATATATATCATCCCAACCATTAGTTGCCGCAAGTTGCCTCCGTAGGTCACCCTGCACCCCAGCTCCTCCTCCGGGATGGTGGCCACATCCGGCAGGTCATCCTCCGGAGCCAAGGATTCCTCGATGTTCGTGGCTTCTGCACCAGCTGCACCTGGCTCTGGCTGCCCCTGGGCCCTGAAATCCCAAACATGTCACATCTATTGAATATATCTATGCATGTAAATATCTTACATTAATTGCTGTTAATTGATGGTTCTCAATCATGCAAATGGAAGGTCCCGTTTTGAACGAGTCTGAAGCGGTTCCCAATTAGAAAAGTGGATGATTTTGGTTGATTCCCTGGTGAAAAAGCACTGGTGCGTTTTTCGATTTTGAGCCACACCATGGCCGATCCGCGGTTTCCACGTTGAGCCGGAGCCACGCTCCGCAGATTCCTCAAGCCATGCTGCTAGCTCCTGAAAGGAACCCACTTAGTGTCCCAAAAAGTGGGCATTGCACCGGGGTAAAATGTGCGGATGGAAGACACATTTAAAAAAAGGCGTGTTCGACTAACAACCCTGCCGATTTAAACAACAAAGCTGGCCGTTTCAGCAACAAAACTTGGGGCGCACGCATCACGACAAAAAAATACAGAGTCTACCAGCAAAACTGGCAATTTATTCAGCCACCAATGGAAATGATGGTTCCTCCTTAAAAAAGCAGAAACAGAGGTGTTTGGAAGTATGAAACCAATAAATGATCCCAACGAAGAAGACACATGCTCGGATTTCCATCCTGTCTACTGTTCTTACCTTGTATTGGGGTCCTGCTCAACACAGAGATTCTCTTCTACTTCACATATCTGGCCATCCCCTGTATATGGTCAGGTATCGACCATGACACAGCTGCAAAATCCGATGTCCTGCAACGTGGAGAGCTGTGGTGGAGGTTCTTCTAAGGCGCTCACATCAAAGCAATCTGGAGCCTAGCTGTCGGGCTGAATTTCGGACGAAAACCCAAGAAAAGTGAGGGATGCAACCGTCATTTGACCTGCTGATGATCTACCAGCAAGATGGATATGATGTATATCTGTGGTCTTGTCTTTGCTGTTTGTCGATGAACCTCTACTTCGATCATTCAATGACCAGTACATACCCCAGTACATACCTGTCACTGTATGATATATCTACGGCGGAGGCAGAAGCAAGGTTTGAGAGCTTGATCATAGGGATTTCTGTGTCCTACTTCAAGTCATCTTTGTTCGATTCAAGATGTTGGGAAGTTTCATTGATTGGGGCCCGGCAGCCCGCGCTTTCAAAAACATTAAAATCATTAAAGCCTATGTCTCATGAAGATAAAAACCCTAAGTGCCCTGAAGCACCACAAACAAGCCTGCAGGGCTTTCTAGGCACTTTGTTAAATAAGTGCAGTTGTCGGTAGGATCTATGGCGTCTGTGCAAACTCCACCATGCGAAGATCCCACTTTATCAAGTTGTTGCGAACTGGGGACGAATTTGAAGGGCTGCTGCCACCTAAATCCTTTAAGAGGAAAAGAGTGTCCAGCCCTCATCCCGTCAGTGCAACCTGCTGTTCCCCAGTGTAGCTCCACTTCAGAATGGCCATGGCCACCTTGAAGCGGCAAAGCTCATAGGCCTCCGCTGACCACAGAGCTCCAACATCCCTCAAGACTATGAGGGGAACTGGGAACTAGTGATGGGACAGTGATGTTTCGTAAGGTCTCCAACTTTAGGATAAACTGAAACTATTAAGGTAGCTTTCAGCGGTATATTTCAGAGTCATTGGTCGAAACCAAGCTTTCCACGATCCCCAGGCCCTGTGATGGTTGGCCGATTGCTCTGGTAAACAGCATGCAACTGGCCACAATCAGCCCTTTTGCCTGCAGGTCTGGTGTTCCCTATCTACAAGTCAACCAGCCACTGGAGCATGCAACTGACCCGTCCTGTCAGGAAAGCGAACCTGGACGGACCGTGGAAGTGCACAGTTTGGGCCCTGATTTCTAGCGCGAACTCAATAAACTTTACCATCAAACACACCCAAAGCTGGTGCGGTCAGTTCATGTCAATTCATGCTTCAATGGCTAGTTGAAATTGGCACATCAAAAAGCCCTGTCTTCGACAGCTGCTTTTGATGTTTCCACCACTCTATGACCTTGCATTGCTGTTCACCTGAGAAGTGAGCAAGCAATCCCGTCAGTAACCATTTCTGGCACCTGTAAGTGCGGAGCAAAGAAACAAAGAAATCAAGACAGAGTGCCAAAGGGTCGAACAAGTTTTCAGAGTCTATGCGCGCGGATTCTCTTGCTGGCAGCCCTCCATGATCTTTCAGTCGTTCCTTCCCACATGAAGCTATGCCATGTTATGCCCATATAGAACTTCCCTATATTTTTGACATGGCAGGCATCACCCCGCACCACACTGCCTGACCGCACAGGAATAGGTCTGGCTCTGGCCTCAAAAGGCGTCCTGCAGAAAGGTCAAAGTTGGGAGAAACTTTGATGTGAGAGATTATGAGTGTGACCTTTTGCACTGCAATGGACAGGCTGAGGGGTGATTCATGTCCGATTTTAGTACCCCTCGGTCAATTTACAGGATTGTTTCAACACCAAATGTGGAATCCTTGCCAGCCCAAGACAAATGGTGTACGTTCCATTTCCTTTTCAGTTTGGAACGAATCGGTCCATCCATCATTGTACAGATTCCAAGCTGCAGAAAGACAAGATTTCTAGTGGGTCAATGCTCTCAGAATTTGAGGTTGGCCATGTCTGCTCTTTGCAAAATGCCCGATCACATGTGTCACCAACAAATCAAGGCGACGTGTCCACTTCGTCAATCTATTCCCATTGCTGCTGGTGAAATACCAAATAGATTCAAATAGCCTATCTGGTACAGGTGGTATGCCACTCCATCATCTCAATCACCCACTAGCGCCAACACCAACGCCGACACCAACATCAACCTTACCTCGCAGGAGTGAAGACGTTGCCCCAGGCATTCTCCCCAGCGTTGTGGAGCGACGGGCCACTACCCTGCCCAAGCGGATTTCTCCGACAAAAATTAAGGTATGACGCTATGACATTGCCAAAAGACATGGAGACAGTGACCAACAAGAAAGGATAAACTAGCAGGAGTGGAAATTGGAACCATTTAAGAGAAGTAGGGATAAATACATGCAATTGTCTAGTGGTTACATGTTATGCAGTGTATCTACATAATTACAGATATATGACATCTACAACGCGGAAGTGGTTGCTTCTACAATAAAAAGGGGACCCCCAATTCGTCCAAATATGTGTCCAAGTTTCAGAAAAGCACACTCCATGTTTTGATGCTGTGAGCTCTAGTAATTAGATAAGAATGGAGATGTGCTAATGAACCTTCCAGCCATGTTTTGATGCTGTGAGCTCTAGTAATTAGATAAGAATGGAGATGTGCTAATGAACCTTCCAGCCATGTTTTGATGCTGTGAGCTCTAGGATAAGAATGGAGATGTGCTAATGAACCTTCCAGCTCCTTGATTCATCTAGGAACAGAAGTGTTGAAAGTCTGCCATCGCGTACCAGCAAAACCTAATGTGCTTGGCGCACCCCAGCGAGGTCTCCCAAGTAAGCGCTGCCTGCAGGCCGCACAGGTCGGCGGCTGACCATCTCCTGGCGGATCTGAGAACAAAAGAAGATCAGTTTGGTTGAAGTGAGAAAATTGGTGATGCTAACCACGCGAAAATGGGGATCTCTATACAACCCAAATCGCACCAAATCCAACCAATGTGCTTTGGTAGACGATGGTAGATGGGAATTGAATCGATAGAAGCGAGGATTTGGATCTGAAAACATCTAAAAACATCGTAAAACCTGTAATTCAACACATGAAAACCGGCCGACAAAAAGGCCGCTATACATACGCAAAGGAAATTGGGGGCGTTCCACTAAGAAAGCAACAAAAACTGAGATTTTGCCAACACAAACTCGAGTTGTAATCAACCAAGGTGTGGATATGAGAATGGCGGTATGACGAACGCATATTACTTTGGGGAATCTTGGCATGATTTGGATCCCAGAACTCCACTTTTTCATAGTCATTTTGTGTCTTTCAACCAACACCTGGGCTCTGAAAAGATGAGCTACTCAAGTCCCACGAGGATTGACGGGTTCCAATGTCAAGCAAAAGTTTGCTGACCCTAGGACAGAACTCGTCAGCAGGAGCAAACCCAAAACTGGGGGAACTTGCACATTTATACATAGAATGAATATATATATATGTATATACTTATGTATATATATATATATTTATATTAGTTATAATATATATATATATATATTAGTTATAATATATATATATTAGTTATAATATATGTATATATTAGTTATAATATAGTGTATATATATATATATATTTGTTATAATAATATATATATATTTGTTATAATATAATATATATATATGTTATAATATATATATATATTAGTTATAATATGTATATATATACATTAGTTATAATATATATATATATTAGTTATAATATATATATAGATATATATATATATATATTAGTTATAATATATATATATATGTTAGTCATAATATATATATGTATGTATATCACGTGCATGACTTCACTAGATATCTTGATTTATCATGATTTATCTACTTATCAGAAGCAACGTAATACCACATCTCCAGGTGATTGCTCATATGTGTCGGGCACCAAGGTGGTCATACGTTTTCATGTCAAACAACATAGGGGAAGCCTCGCTGAAGACCGGCGACGGGGCCGGTGACGTCCTTGTTCAGCTTGTCGGAGACCGAATGCACCTCTTTGGAGAGATGCTGCACCTGGAGGCGTTCCAAAGGTAGAAATTGAACGAATTGAACCTTGAACAATTTGAACATGGAACCATATGGAACCCACATAAACAATACATAAACCGTATAAACCAACTCCTGAAATTGAACCTAGGAACTGGATGAAACTGGGACGAAACTGGGATGTCCAAAAGAATTTTGCCACTGGACATGGTCAACTTATGTCAACTTAAACTTCCAGGTAAGCAGCACGCCACAAGATGCAGTCTCCGGCCTCATGATCGAACCATGCACCGCTTCCTGGGAGGACGTGCCTCAAGGCGACACAGTGATGGCTCTATGATCGTTGAAGTGTTATGAAGTTTCTAAGTGCTGAGTAAAACCTGTACAAGACAAAAATTATCGAAAATGTAGAATTGGTGTGAAATGGTGAGCAAATGGGGATAGCCACATAGAATGGTGGCTATAGCGAGCTGCACTCTGGTTGACTTCAGGAATTTTCCAGTCAAACAGGAACAAGGGCCTGTGCGAAAGGCAGGACCTCACTGCCGGCGTGCCTCTGAGAATTGATCCCTACTAATAATGGGGGAGACAGTATGCAAATGGTGATGCGTCTGCAGGTCTTTTTCTTGTTCTCCAGGTGTTTTCGTTCTTTGCAACTGATTGTACAACACTGAATCGAGAAGCTGAAAAGGATTGACTTTGGAGTGAACTGCCTGCATTGTTGTAAATTCAGACCATTCTTATACCAAAGATGTTGAACTTGTAGTGCTACTCCCTAGTATGAAAACCCAGGCTCCAGCGTCGACTTCAATGAGTGGCTTGACCTGTGGCCCGCACACTTCTTCCTGTGCCGTGTAGGACGTCATCGGTGTGCCACCTCCCAAGGCTTCCCGGAATCATCTCAAGTGATCCAAGTGATCCAAGTGATCCAAGTGATCCACTCATCCACCCATCGCCTGTTCCTTCGTCCAAACCCATGGGATGAGACTGTTGGAACTTGGCCTCGGCGGGTTCTCCAAATCTCAACATTTCAAGTGGTCAATATGATCTCATCCTCCTGTCAATGTCCCCTGATCATCTTCAGGCCACCTTCAGGTGTTCGCAGGCAGACCAGCTCACCTCTGAGCCGCTGGCCGACATGTCGCCCAGAACCTGTTGGCAAGCTGGGGACCAACCCAGGATGAGACCTCCAATGGATCGCGGATGCCTACTGGAGCACTGATTTTGCCTTTGGTGGCCTTATGATTCCAAAGGTTTCCTCAGCCAAGAAAAACAACAGGGTTCATTGCTAAAAACCTGGCGATGGACTAGTGACTCGTGGCATTGAGTATATCATAGTATATCCCAGTGGAACTCACGACCAGTTTCAGCAGTTGCCTCCGATTGCGTGGCGCAAACTGCCAGCTTCGGTCGGCTTTTGGCTTCACGGCCCTCACGTTCCGCCTTCTCCTCCTAAAGGGGCAAAACAGAAATCCCGTCTGGATGAAAAAAGGAATAGCTCTAACAGAACATGGAGCTCATCACTCAAATGGACTCTTCGGAAGGGCAATAGATTTCGAGAGCAAGGAGAAAACCTTAGCAAACAACTCCCCCACTGGGCGTCTCCATCGGATTGTCCTCGTGGATTCTGGCTTCGATGTAGGCTTCAAGCCTCCCAGAGGTCCCACCAAAATTCAGGATCCATGCTCGGGTGAGCATGCCAGCAAGTAACTCGTTGCTAAGCAGGATTGGTAATGGGTAAGGTCCTGAACTTTCATCCCACAACAGTGGATCAGGACTACCAACCACTTCTCAAATAGGATGTTCATCCAAGTAAGTATCGACAAAGTTGACCAAAATCTGCGGAATGAACCAAAATCACAGGGCATCCTTTCAGGTGCGTCAAAAACTGATCCTTCGACCTACTTTGCGAGCGGATGAGCTCTAAAGTCGAGACCAAAAACAATCCACAACTGCTACATCAAGACAGAAACCCGTGTCCTTGGGTCTCTGACTTTCAGAAACACTGGCATTTAGGACCTATTCGGATCCGCTGGGAAACCCATGCGCCCAACCCTCCATCCCAATCTGCGCCGCTGCACCTATCTAACTCTTCATCCAGCTGCGGGTCCGAGAACTCCGCGCGGCGTGGCTTTACGGGTTTCCTGTGCACTCAAATGGGACTGAAATGAGGGAATGATTCCCAACTGGGTGATAAACCCATCAACTACGATGTTAGGCACCTGTTCACTAAACATTTATGTACCAATTGCAGGAATCATCCGAGCTTTTTTGGCCCCATCTATCTGAGTCCCCGGCTCAAGACTGTCCCACAGCTCAGCAAGGACAGTCTCGACCTCGTGCCTGGAGTAGGGATGGAATGCCATGGAATGCCAACAAAGAAATGCTTGACATGCAAAGAAATGGGTGTCATCAATGATTGTCGGGATGTAACCGGGGAAACCCCTCGGGTTTCAGTGTCGTGCTCAGTGCCCCACTCAAGATCCACGCCCTTAGGTTGGGCGGCCAAGGCCGCCGAAGCCGCCTGGACCTCTGAAGGGAAAAGGGGAGGAAAAGAAAGGAGGGCCGATGTCCCTTCAACACTGGGAATATGAAGTATATGCTCAAGAATCTAGCTTTGGTGTTCTCGACGGGTTTCAATCCATATGCGTCTAGATCTCAAATTGTGGCCGTGCAAAAATGTGCCACTGACTAATTTTGCCCTATGACCGTCATCTGGGAAGGCAACTACTCCATCTGTTTGTGGCACTGGCAGTGACCTGGCGCTTCCCACTCTGCCTCCTCTCGGGTCGTTGGATTCAAGCTTCGGCTTTTTTGGTTCCACTGGAAAGCACCTGGGTCGGATGACTATCAGTGCACAAGCTGCTCCTTTGAGAAGTATTAAAAATGATATGAGCCCTGTGAGAATCTCTGCTTGCCTCATGCTGATTTGTGACCGGTCATCTCGTTCGATTCAAACCACATTCTGACTACAATTGGCATTCTCTAAAGAAGACTACCCCCTGCACCCACCCACCCCTCTCAATCGCAAATGTGATGTGTGTAGTTGCGGCTAAAACAGCCGCGCCTCCAACAAACTGCTTGCCTTCAATTAGAAACCACCCATCGACAGAACGGCCAGGTAAGTTTCTAGTGGATCCAGCAAAATCAGCAAATATTCAACGATGCCCCTATGGCGCCTAAGCCATGGGTGACCCCGAAGCGAATGCCATATTTGGAATAGCAAATACAACTTCAGCGGTGGCCAAGCCATTCCCTCAACCCACATTCCAGACCCAAGTGCAGTGGTTGATCTGTGCATGCCATGGGTTCAATCTATGGGAATCGCTTGCAGCAACTGAGCACCGCACCCCAGGCTTGTTCTAGTTCTTTGAACCTCTTCTGCAGCGATTTTCCCTGAACACGCTGCAGTGCAACGGCACATCCTCCTATGAAAGTTTGTAACATCAAGCAACTTTCCCAAATGGTCTTGAGGCATTGGCCTGACAGATTTCATGCACGACATGCCCGTGGCCAAGAAATTTGGGTTGGCTTGGGAAATCATTCAGCCCTGTTCCAGGGTCCAACATCGCCGACTTTCACAGCGCTCTGTGTGTTGTTTCAACCACTGTACTAGGATGTATGAAGTACATCCACATCCTTCTGAGCTCTTTCCATCTTTCGGCTGCCTCTTTCGAAGTCATTCCAGCCACAGCCACTTGGGAGAGGACCCGATACCTCAGCTGAAGGTGCTGTGGCTGTGGGAGATGAGCCACCTGTGCCACAAAAATATTCCCTTTGGGGGGTCAAAGAAAGAGTGAATAATGAAACCACCAATGACACCAATGGTCTTGCTTTCAAGTTTGTTGAAGGTATTGGAAGGGTAGGGATAGTTGCCAAACAAAGCAAACGCTGTTGATTCACAATCAGCTGGTTGGTGTCACCAACCATCTTAGAACATCTTAGAACATCTTAGAACATCCCTTACAATGAAAATGAACCCATCGACAGCAGTCAGACCTCATGGCCTGGCCTGGCCCTCGCACGCCCACGCTCAAGTTTGTCCAGGCACTCAGCAGAAGCACCTTCGAACTCGTCTCGAAGCTTTCGGACTTTTTCCACTTCTGCCTGGTGCCACTCGTAAGGTCCCGCTCATGTCAGGCTCAGAGATCTTTGATGGCTTGGGAGTTTGGTGAAAGCAATTGGCCTGCGGTTTTCAAATGAAAAAGCGTCTGGCGCGGGCATCCGGGCATCCGAGTTTGACCCAAATACCGGCAGGTTGAGATCTGCAGAGAAGGATCACAAAGAGCTTCAAACTCCCGCCTTTGCAAGAACTGGAGCATCTCCACCGATGCCGGAGTACCATGGCACCATCGGTACAGGTCCTTGACAAGATTGACAACTAGTAAGAACTCAAGACCCAACAAGTTCATCATTCTTGAGCACATTTGAGCGCCAAAACAAACTCAGTGTTCAGTGTTCACACCCTGTTCACGGGAAACCTGTTCAAGGTTTCTGTTCTCTGTCATATTGTTTGTTGACTTCGTGGTTGAAACCTGACTCCACACTGAACCTCAGAACTTGGACGGTTTTTCTGCTCAAAACGGGTAAGTGGCATTTGCCCCGCTGCAAACTTGCTGGCAAACAAATTACTGAACTTCACATATCCGACATATCCAATGATTGGCACAAGCAAGTCCATTCTTTTTCATTGTCACAGTTGCTGTACATGTGTATCACTTGTGTATCACTTTTGTACCACATTTGTGTCACTTTGTACTCCACTTTGTCACATTTGTACCGCAAAGTCCTCCACGAAGCTGTGCTGCTTCCTGCAGCTGCACGGCGCTGCCAGGCGTTTGGAGCGGCAGCTCCACCACCGGGGCCTGCGCCGCAGCCGGGGCTGCCAGCGGTGCCAGCGGTGCCAGCGGTGAGAGCGGCTGCGCTGGCGGTACCAGGGGCGTTGCCATCACTGGTGCTGCCAGGGACGGAGGGAGGTCACCGGCACCTGCAGCTGCAGCTGGATGGAAAATGAAGGAAAGTGATGATGCAAATTGCAAATGGAAAAATAATAGAAATCCGTGGCAGAGGGGCATTGGCTAACAGTCTTGGCCCTGGCCTTCCCTGGCATCTCGCTGTGCCAGGGCTACTTTTGCCAGGTCTTGCGCCTGATTTCATCTGAGCAAGCAGGCAGTCAAACTGGGGACAGATAGATTCAGATAGATGAATAATGATGAATAGCTTTAGTTTGGGCAAAATAACAAGATTCAGGTTTGAAGCCAGAAGATTCATGTCAAACAACATGAGTTGATGAGTACAAGTTGTAGAGATAGACGAACAAATACGAGTGATAAGGTAGACGCGCAAACAGCCAAACACATGGAGAGAGCATGGATCTATGCATCATAGACCGGATGCATCCATGGATTCATATACGATTAAAAAAAATGCAAGCGCATAAACAATCACGCATGCCCCACATTGATAACAAACTGATGGCTAGCTGGCGGGCTGGAGGGCTGACCAAATTGAAGGAATCTGTTGTAATCATATAACTCATATCACATATCGCATATCTGGAAGGGTAGCAGTTACTCCCGTAGGATCTTCAGAATCTTCAGCCAGTGAGTCTGGAAGGGGAACCCACGGAAGCACCAAAGTGCATTCTGCCTTTGCTGCAGCTTCTGCTGCTGCTCGGCCACGCAAAGGTTTGGACATGGCGTCGCTTCGCCCGGGGGTTCTGGTGATGTCGGATATCGCGCGTGGGTTGGCTGAGTTTGGTTGAGTTTCAAACCTGATGGCAAATGAGGTGGATTACTTACTGAAAGATTGGATCGTGGATGCATTGAACCATCTTTCCTAATTGCATTTGATGGACTTGGTATCATCCTGCAAGTGGACTTGCTGCAGTTTCAAACAAGGCTGCAACCTCCTGACCAGAGCTCCATGGGTCTAATGTCATGACTGGGCCACGGAACGCTGCCGATGGAAAACAACCCGCAAACTCCTCAATTTCGCCATCGTAGGGCTCGCAAGCAGAAGACGAATATATTTGATAAGAGCATCGATGCAGCATCGTTGAATGTCGTTTTGCACGACCGAACTGTCTTCACCTTCATCAATCAAGGCACATGGATCCCCATCAAGTCTCGGAGTGTAGGAACATGTTGCCAGTGCCCAAACCCCCAACTGCCTGGAGTTTGTAGGACAACTGCAGATGTGCATTGGCCCGTTCCTCCCAGAAGCCGTCCCTGCCACAACAGCACTGTGATTGACCAGGCGCCGGTAACTCCTTGATGTTCAATGGAGTGGGACTAATACGTATGAGGATTGATTGTTTGTTCAACATCCAAGATCTTTAAATAGCAGTCCAGTGCCATCATCTTTCCAAACACGGCTGGAAAATGAATACAGACAATATAGCATAGATAATTGCCAAGTATAAAGGGGTTGTCAAAAGAAGGACCCGGCTATCTGCTGACTCCCTCCAATTCACTCGCTTTAGACCCTGTCACCTTTGGTCCTCGCTTTTAACAAAGTAAAGCACCCGTGTTTTTTTGGCTATAGGGCTATAGGCTATACTAGAACAGTAGAACCAACCAAACCATTTTGAAGGGTTTGAGGAGTCCCCAAGTTTGGAATGCACCAACAGGACAAGTCTCCCGTTAAACCGAGCATCTGCAAGTTGGTACCACTCTCCCTTACACTAACATGCTGGCTACACGTCAGCAGGCGTTGCCGCTCCTGGCACCAACCCTCCGAAAAAATGCATGAGATCCCGCAAATTGATGCAAATTGGCCACCATCGTGTCGTGTCAATTCATCGTGTTTTCCTGTTCAAAAAAAATCCAGGGACGTGACATGTCAAGTCCATGTCCCCTGTACCGAGCTGGTGGCACCTCCACAGACTCCTGTTTTCGGAAGTTGGCATGCACCCAGAGCTTGTCTGCCAAATCCTGCCGGAAAGATCAAAAGTTCAGCTCAACCAGTCCCGAATCCCACAGATTTCAGCCAAAACTGATGGCCGGCTGTGAGGCTTTCCATGTCCATGGTAGGGCTTAGGGTGTGGCATCTTCACTTCACTCCATGGTAGTCACGGTAGTCCTTTCTATACAGGACTTAAAGCATCGCTGGGTCTACATGGTGGAACTCAACGGATTCAATTTCGGGTACCGAATTAGTGGAAAAAAGGCAGAAGGATTTTGAGCGACTTGGACCTCAAACTACAGAGGCACCTGCGACTTATCACTGAAGCGATCAGAACACGCCTTCATTTGTCTTGGAAACCGACCCACAAGAGAAGTTAAATCAGTTAAGCTTGGTCTAAAAAAAAAAACTGCTGTTCTCGGATTGTTCTCGGATTCCTGAAGCTGTTCTTGAATCTCATCCGCTTGCCGCGACCCAGGTGCCACATTTCTCCTGCAATTGCTGGAAGGTCATGGGACAGTCCCAACAAGGAAAATCAAGTCGGTTTTGTTTCCACCGTCGTTGTATATCATAGCAAAGTATGAAACAGCAAGCAAAACCGTTTGTACCATGTAGCTATGAGTTTACTCATGGTCAACCCTGGACCCCCACCAAAAAGGAGGATACATGATAGTCTTCCTGTAGATAAATTTCAACCCATTGATCTACAGTACCTTTTGCCTATATTTACATTTTTTTCAAGTAGCATTTTCTGCCTTCGTATGAATGGCTTGCAACCGAAACACCTCAGCGGGAACGTGCGAAGGAATTCTTCAAGGACCTGACAAATGGCATGAACTTTGCTGGGTTGCTGATGTGGTTTCTTGGTTGGTTCAGCTATCTGCCTCAGCAAATGATTGGTACTCGGCCGTAACATCCCATGTTGATGCGCGACATCACCAGTAATGATTCTGTTTTTACCACGCCTGCGCTTTGTCATCAGGGCGCTGCAGAAACTCTAAGAACCTTGGCATCCATGGAGGGCATGATCACTTAGACTGAGACTATTGGATACAGATCAAAACAAGGAAGCAAAAAAAAAACGCAACATATTGTCCTGTCTAGATGCCTGTTTAGATGCCTGTATATAGTGAGCCCGAGAGTTGGGCAAAACTTTACGCAAACTACCAAAGACATATCAAATTACCCACCAGCATCTCCTTTCGGCCCCCTTCACAAGCCTCAACAATAAAGATCTGACACCACAACCCTGCCTCCTCTGGGTGAAGACCAAGTCCTTGCCATAGTTCCCCGCCAAGTCATCCACCTGTGGAGCGTTGTGCCGCTGAAACGATTTGAGTGGAGCCCTTGGCGGTGACTCCAAGAAGATGACATGAGATGAAGAATGAATCGAATGAAGATTTGAAATTATTGAAATTAAACAAAATGGTCTAGCACAGCCTGTAGCAGGGCAGGGATTGACAGGGGCAGGTCACTTGAAGAAGGCGGTGGAACTGATGATATCTCTGTAGGTGTCTGTGCCGATTCACATCTGAATCATCCAGGAAGCAGCAAGAGTGACATGACAGCTCAAAGAGTACACTGGCTGCGGCCTCTTGCAACGTTTCCCGAATGCCCAACCTCAATCGCGCTCGCTTCCGCTGTGACTAGGAGATCTACAGACTTGCAGTTTGATCAATTTGGTGTTCACCCACATGCGTAGGATCCTCGGGCTCTCACAGATAGGAGGAAAGCCCTTGAAGCCAAAGGGTGTGAAACTCCTCCCTGGTTTTGTAACCAATCTCTCGGATGACAATGGTATCTCCCACCTCGTGCAAGCTTGCAATGCTGCGTTAGAAGGAAAGCGACAGCGACCGCTGGCGAATGCATTGGAGGTAGCCCTGCATTCAACATGGTACTGGCCTGACCATCTCTTTCCTCTTTGCTCTCAAGCTCGTCCTCAAGTCGCAAAGAAACAGGTGCAGCTTTGGGTATAGTACACTGCAGTGCTCGTGACAAAATCATGGAGGAGACGCCATGGCATTGAGGCTACCTATTCCACCTATCCAACCTATCATCTCACGGCCCAATCAACCCAATCAAGCCCAGCCTCACAGGTCTGGTCTCCCAACTCGTCCACCTCCAGGTCTTCTGCCTCTGGGGAATCTGGCGCCTCTACAGCTTCAGCCGCTTCAGCTTCATTGGCATCGGCTCCATCGGCTCCGTCGGCTCCGTCGGCTCCATCGGCAGCTGGAGCATCTGCTACAGCATCTGCTGGAGCATCGGCAGCTGGAGCCTCCACCACTGGCGCCGCTGCGGCTGGTTCCAATTCTGCTGCGTCTGCTGGCTCTTCAGGAACCTCTCTAGGCCTTGTCGCAGAGAGGGGCTGCAAACCACGAGAAGGGGTGCACCTTGAACTACGGATATGACTGATATGGGGCACATGTCGGGTTGATGGACTACTTTGCGAGCTGGAAACACATGAGTTGTGGGTTTCCCGGGTTTTGGACATATGATCTTGGCAGCCTATCATCGGACTCAGCATGATTGAAAAATGAAGCTCTGATAGCTCTTTCTCCCTCCAACCTTTCCAAAGATATGAAGATTTCCACCTGAAGAAGATGGTACAAAATATTCCAAAACCCAGACAAGGACAGACCGCAAACCTTCCACTTTAGTAAATCCGTAAATGCAGATGTTGTCTTTTTGCGTCCTACAAGTATGTTCAGGGCAGGGCACCTCCTCCAAAAGCTCACCAGCTCCTTGACGGTCTTGAAGCATGCCTCTCCCATCACTGCTGGGGCTGGTTTTTTAAACGAAGGAAGTAGTAGAACCAACCAGTTTATCTAGATGCAAATGAAAATGTGCTTACATGCTGTCTACTAATAGTACTGTACGGTACTGGGTTTTCTCAAGCTTAGGAACTGTCCAACCTGTGATTTGTCATGATTTATCTCCCTGAGAAGCGACCACGCTAGGAATTACAGTAATCGAACCTACGACAGGTTAAGCTGTTTTGGATGAGGCTGGAGCTTCAAAGTTTGACAGCATTGTGGGCACCTGTGTTTGAGGCAATATGTTTATTTTAAGCCAACGTTGCTATGTCAACAAGTGCATTGTATGGATAGACCCAGCTGGTGTGACGAAGCCAAATGTCCCAGGGGCCTTTTGGTATCTATCATCTATATACGTAACCTATGCAGTGGGTGGTTGTGGAGATGGGTTATGTGCGCGACGTTTGTCGCTGAATTTCAGTCCTTGATCCAGCCTCTGCTGCCGGGATGACTGTCTCATTCTCTTCTCCATCCTGCAGCCGACGCATTGCTACCACCGGAAATTCTACACTTAGAGCTAAGTGATATTCAAACCATTCGAGTCATTGGAGTCTGTATATCATGCATTTTCCATGGTTCTTTGGCTGTTTTTTGACTGTTACAGCGGGCCACCAAGCCTGGACAAGGACATCATGGCAATTCTGAAGCGGCTCGGCAAATGAACGTGCCAGAACCTTGCAGGAAGAGATGAACAGAAACTGCCACTTGGGTATGAAATTGGAACGGTCAGGCCACTTGTTGTGTCAAGTAACCAGAAACCCCAAACCTTGACCGTGCACCAAAACCATCCGTTGAGGTGGGCACATGAAGAATGGAAAATATTGAGCCTATTTTTGAGCCATATCCGTTTGGAGAGCATGAGAATGCTGCGGTTCTGAAAAAATAGATGATCTTTGGACCCAACTTCATTGCTCGTGGTTGGACACTGTGGCGAGATGCGATCAGGATCCCTTCCCATCTTGGTATTGCTCGAAGGACCCAGGCACCCGGAAAACTTGGCCGTGTCTCAGTAT